AAAATTTACGGAAAATTTACGCCGAATTTTTCACGGACGTTCAAAATTTAAACGTGAATATCTCCGCGGATATCGATTCTACAGGAATAATTTACATAGCATCTTGTAGCCAAGAACCAGGGCTTTCGATCTGTAATAGAAACACCTTAGTAGAAAATCGCTTCCTGTCTCGTAAATTGTGACCAAAGTCAAAAAAATTGAATTTTTAGGCATAAATTTCCGTGGGTCCCGTTTGTGTTACGGAAATTTATACCCAAAAAATTTTCTGATGATACTTTCTTGATTTTATTTGATCTTTCACGTTTCTTAACCATTTTTTACTCTCTTTATCTGATGCTCTATAAGCTTCTACTGCCATTTCTAGATTTTTATTGATTTCTTCTTCCGAATAATTCCAATATAGGCATTGCAAAAATACCTCTTGCATAGTGTCATCTTCATTTTCTGCTCCTAATATTACACTGGCTAAATCAATCTCTTTAGCCATTGTAAACCAGGTTGAAAAAGCATATTTAGCTCCATCTACCTTGAACATATCCTTTGCAGTCCGAATTTCATTTTGCCATATTACATGATATTCTTTGTCATTGGAAAATGGAACTGGCCAAGTACTTCTACATCTAAATCTAGAAACCCACCTTTGTGATTAAGCAATTCTTGAACGTGTTGTAATTCTGTATTAGCTAATGACGTGGTTTGTTGAGTTACTATTTCTTCTAATTCAGTAAATCTATCTTCACGATGAGCTTGGATTCGAGGACCTGAACCAGCTTCAGGATCAATTTCCTGCTGTACCATTGGAGATGGCTCATGCTGAAAATTTGCTTCCTCGATTTCAGGCTGATCAAAAAATCCTTGCTCTTCACGTAATTCTTTTTCTGTTGTAGGTCAGAAATATGCATTTGGATCCAGTTGTAATAATTCATCATAAAGAGCTTTGGTTTTGGCCAAATTTTTTGGCTGACCGCAATCCTTGTTACTTAATTCTTTGACTTTTTTTCGTAATCTCGATCCCCATTGTTTAACAGACTCACCTAATTTTCTAGCATTGAGATCTTGAAATTGCAAATTTGAATTGGTTATAGGTTGAGTATTACAAGACAGTTGTAATAAAGCTAGACATGGCCTATTTCGTGTTAGGTCCATATGTTTATTAAGATCTCTTGTTTTTCCAGTTCTAGGGCTCCATCCACATCCTGGACATTTACCTACCATATTTTCCAGTGTTTTTTATTATATATTAATCATTCAGATCTTTTGTTTAAATAAAAAATATTTATTTCATTTATATATTTTGCCTACCCACAAGTTCATATTCAGATAGGTATAGTTAACTAATTTGTTATATCCTACCTTTCACAGTACATACTCAAAACCAGATCTTAAATAGGTTAACTACTTTCTTTTTCCAAACTAAAAGATTATAATCCAATAAATAATGTGTTAATTTTATTAATTTCATTCTGAGATTTTTTATTTATCAAATGTAAGGAAAGCAAGTCGACCTACTTATTCGCCATATATTTTTTTTTTTCGGTTAGCTCCATTGTCATATATAACTCTAGAGATAAAAGTAAATGAGAATAGGTAAGTAAATAATTATTATATTGATTTTTAATTGGTTATATAGTAGAGCTAGTGTCAGGACACTTAAAACAATATATACAAATTTACTTGATCTTCTTCCATCTGAATTGATACCATCTATTATAAAGAATCTTCCAATCCAAGATCTTAAAAATTGCTGTAGTTTAGATGATATATGGAAAGATGAGGTTATTCGAAAAATTCGTAAAAGATTAATAGTAGATTGTAAATTCGTAGATAATAATATTATCATTAAAACAATAATCAATCTCAAATCTCATTATAGCAATATTAGTAAAGCACTTGTTAAAAAATTGAATTGTTATATTTCTAGGGATTTTGGTAGATCAGGATATTCCACAGTAAAAGAACTTGGAATTAATGTAATAAATTCAGGTAAAAAAATAATGGTAAGAAGATGGATACATAGTAAAAAAATTTCTATTCCCATTCCGGATATCTTCGAATTAGAACCACAAAAAAACTCCTTTACCTAAATACTTAGGTAAATCTTTTGAGCATTTTTTAGTTCTTGATAAGCCAAAATGCGAATTAGTTTTAAGCGATATATGGATAGGGGAATTAATGAATAGAATCAGAGAACATATATACCCAGAACCAGAAAATTTTAAGTATTATCATATGTATCATTCCATGGAATATTATAAAATGTATAATCAATAGTATAAAAAAGAAAAACGTACTCTTTCTTTATGAAAATTTCATAAGTTATTATTTCCGAATTATACATTTGATTTTAAGGCTCCAACTGACTTGATCAAATATTACAATTCAGAATATTCTGAAACAGAGTCTGAATCTAATGATTTTGAGACTGGCGTGTTTATTCCTAATCATTATTAATATCAAATAGATCGTAGGTTTCAGAAATATGACTTTAATGGTTATTCCTCTGTATCTTCTTCGCTATCATAAAGATAGCTAAAATCAAAATCAAATGTCTTATTTATTTTAATTTCAATATCATCTAAAAAGTCTATATAATTATGTATAAGATTTCTTAGGTCTTTAGAAAAAATATTGTATAGTATAGGAGGACTATATATTTTTAATAATGCAACTGAATGAAAAATATCTTCGACTTGAGAATAAATAGATCTAAGATAATTTTTTATCTTAGTTCTATCGTAGGGTAACACATTATTAAATCGTTTAATCCAAACATTAAAACCAAATTTGTATAATTTTATAAGTGCTCGAAACCCTTCTGAACATTAGGTATGATTAACAGCAAGAATCTTAAATAGGTCATCATCGTTAGAAAAATGAAAAAGTATATTTTTCAAAATTTCAGGTATTAATAAAGCACGTGTTGTAAGTATACCTGCCACCCAAATTCAAAATCCAAATGCCGAAATCCCAAATGCCGAAATCCCAAATCCCAAATTCCAAATTATGATTAGTATTTTTTGCCGAAATCCCAAATCCCAAATCCCAAATACTAGTAATTTGGAATTTTGGTGTTCCAAATTCCAAATGATTTGGGATTTGGGCAACACGTATATCAAAGAATACAAAAAATTAAGAAGTTCATTAATCAGATATCTAAAGGTTTTAATATGTGGCAGATTAGTTCTACATGCGATAATATAACTTCAACAGAAGGCTGTAAAAATTTTAACTCGTATTTTAACAGAAGAAATTTGGTCTAGATTATATAAAAGTTATAAGGAAGAAACTGGACAAGACCCATGGTATGACCTGTGATTATATCAATACAAACTTTATCATAGAAGTTTGTGAAATACAAAATAATAATTTCTTTGCTTAATATATGTAAACAAAACTCGAAAAAGCATTAATCATTTACTGCTATAATTACAACAATGCAAAAGTTTATACTATACTAAAATATGACTCACAAAATTGTAAGATGCTACATAGCATCCACTACTTTTAAACTATTAATATATGAGAGCCTTGAAGGTCTCTTTTGTGTCCTTGATTCTTCAAATCCTTCCATGATTTCTCAAGCCAGCATCTAAATTACAATTAATTTGTCAATATAAGTTATTTGTTAAAAATGATGATCCAATCACAATACTTACCACCCACTTTATAATACATTCATAAAATAAAACAAAATCCATCATTTCTGTAAAATCATGTGGGATATTCGCGTTATCCACCTCATTAAGGTAGAACTTTCCTCCTAACATTTATCGTTATCAACGGTCAATAGAGCAAGTAATATTTATTTATAATAAACACGAATATAAATGTTTTACCGCAATAATCCAAAAATTGTAAGTAAATCCTAAGGCGAAAACTTTGTCTACCAAAAATGTAAAGTTTAGGAAATCGTCGCCTACACTTTATATTGTCTTTTACAACATTGATATAAATTTTCTGTAGATTGTTCGCGATTTTTGATGCATCAGCAATCTCTTTGTCATCATCTGCATGCAATCTTGAACCTTCTACATATACCAATTGGTATTTATCTGCAGTATCTAAATAGCCAACACCATCCGCGCATTGATTTTTATGATTTTCGGTTCTTATCTCTCAAACTCATAATTTATGGATGAGATATACTATAAACTAGTTTGTAAACAGGGATGTACAAAATTGTTTAAGTGCGGTTTTTCCAGCGTCACCAAATTCAAAAGAGGATTCCTTGCTCCCAATGAAAATGCAATAATACTATAAAAAAATTAAGCCAATAATATAAATAAACCATACTTATTGGTAGAGTAAAAAATATTTGTACTTACAATAATGGTAAGGTTCTACGCAAAATTCGTATGACTGATACCATCAACACATCATCATGATCTTGACATTGCAGATCTTCAATCTTTGTGTGCCAATCTTTACCTATCAAATTTTGTTTAAAAAACTGGGTCAAGAATTCATGTACGTGTGATGGAATCAAGTTCTCGATTTTATCATCGAGCTCCTTTAGATATGGTGACAAAATATCTAAGGGAAGCTCTTTGCTAAATCTTGAGTTAGGACTTAAATCAAGTAATATTTCGTCTGAATATGTCTTATCGTGATATTGGCAAATTAATTGTATATTTTCTGAACATTTAACACCGAGCAAGTCTTGGAGTAACTTTTTATTTGATTCCTATAGAAATAAATAAAATATTATTAAATGTATTTCCAAAATTGTACACTATAGATAAAGATTTGTATACTTACAACAATCACTTCTGTTTCGACGGTACTTGGAGCTACTGAAGGTGTCTGCTAATGGGTTAGTAACAGTATTAAAATAATGTATTAATAGTACAATTAATTATCAAATATGAAGGAGGCACCAGTATTATTAAACAATTACTTTACCTCATTATCTTAAATATCTTCATTCTCGTCATTCTTTTCAAAGCTCTCCTGAGTATCCGATTCATCGCCTAATCCATAAGATTCGAAACCTGTTATTAAATCTGTAAACGATTCTGCTTTTTGTTTACTCATACTCCTAGTTATCCGTTGTCTTTTTTCACTCTGATTATCAGAATTAACCTAAAATATTGAAACACAAAATTAGTTCAACCTGAAGTCACTGACTGTGTTCTTAACAGGGATTACCCTTTCTTCAACCTTTGAGTCCTTTATGTTGGCTTTACATTTTTTCTCCAATATCTTTTCTTCAGCCTGTTCGATTTTTACGTCAAACGCCCCCACCCCCCCACTTATTGTCCCATTTACGCTGTCACCGGTGTTCCTTAGTTTTCTCAAGAACCACCTATTAGAGTGACTTGACGGTTCTTTTAAGGAGTTTATAGTCCTTTCCCGAAGG